TTTATATATAAAGTTACTGTAAATTTATTGTAATTTTTTATAACTTTTAAAAAAGATAATCTAAAAAATTTACCAAACGTATATATATTTAAAAATATTACACAATTATATAAAAACACTCTCAATTATAATTTCAAACGCACCCGTATTCTTCGTATTGCTCAGTCAATGATTACTTGATTTGGTAATGTCTAGTCTGAGGAAAATAGAAAGAATGGAGATGATAGACTCTTTTTGTGGTACGTAATATATGTATATTTTTAATTTTTAAATTTATAAGTTAAATAATTAAAAAATATATAGATAAATAAATTTATAAAAAAATAAAAAATATATTTTTTACAATTAAATGATGAAAAGTACTAAAAAAATAAAAAAAATTAAAGTTATATAAAATCTTAAAGTTAAGAGAATCAAATTTACTGCCTTTATTATATGGGTGGGCAAATAAAGTGATATCCTTGTTAATTAGTGGGTCTTTCAATGAAAGAATTTTAGATTTTTATTAATTCCACACGTTATTATATATATATATATTTTTTTCAAACAAAATGTTAAGTGGGCATCGAACTTTAAACTTATAAGGAAAGATGGCTACACCTTTCAAAGTGATTCGAAGAGTCAGATGCCATTATTATACTCTCTTTCTTTTCTTTTTTTTTTCAAAAATGTTACTCACATTGTCATTGTCATTGTCATCCTCGTTCCCTGGGGCAAAGTTATTATCTACATATAGGTAGCCAATTCACTTATATCTTTCATCCATTTTTGCTCTAATGTCCTTTGGATATGAGAACCGTGAATAAAGTCTGTTTGGTACAAGGTTAAAATTTAACAGATAACAGATAGTAGGTAATGGATAGTAAATAGCGGATAATGGTATCAGGTAGTGGATGGTGGTTAGTGGATATCAAATGACGGATAGCGAAAAATTGATAGCAGATGATAAATAGCGAATTTGATAAATATAATTGTTTAGCTATGCAATAGTTAACGATTATTATTTAACATTAAATGACTAATAA